TGATGGTTGATAATAAGGACATCATGCAAGTAAAAATCTTTCTATTTTCACCATTATGTTAAGTTGTGTTGTCGAAAAACTTTCTCGAGAAAACAATGTGCGGATTGTTTTGAAATTCTGTGCCTTTTTTTCAACACTAAAACATATTCAATTGATAAAAGTTTTCAATTGTTTTCAATTTTAGAATTATAAAATAATTAATACTCTTCGTTTCTATTAACGTCTGTGCACAATTTGTGGAGGGTTCAATAAGACAGAAATATATTCATATTGCAGTCATTCAATATGTACCATATTGCGAGTCTGTGGGTGGGTGTTAAAGTAGAGAAGATCGACACCCACACTCTTATTTATTTATCAACGTATCTTTCCTCACGTGTACTATTAATAATTTGTCGTTTTTACTTGTAGTTTTTTCTCCAGTTCCTCAGGATGAATGACTAGCGGAACAGACAAAATAATCTTGTCCAATACCGCTGTTTTTGGCATAATGTGAGGGGCTTTGAGCAAAAAAGGAGACGGTAATATTTCAAATTCTTTGCAATTATTTTCCGATCGTCCCATTTAGTATTTTGATGGTGTTCTAACTTATGTTAATACGGTGTAGATCAGTTTTTAGACTATCCACATCGAGATTGTATGTACCAGTCTTTGCAACTCGGTCATTCAGATTATGATTGATAATTTTTCAAGTCAGCCCATTGCAGAATGTCTTGAGTTTGCTTGAATTTCGTTAAATTTTTCAAAATCCAAAGAATTCAAAATGTTAAATGAAAATTCAAGGAAAATTCACTCTGTTTAGAGCTCCTGACTTAGGATTTGATATATGTCAATCTTTGTAACTCCTTCAATGAAGCTGTGCCACTTTGTTTTGAGACACCATATGAACGATTGACAGAACACTAACAGTTACTTATAATGGAAGATTGACCGAATAAATATAATTTTTTCATCTGTGTCATTTGTAAAAATAATTCATAGAGTTCCTATGAATTCTATGTTACTTGTATCACTGTGACTATAAGAGGTAGGAAACTCAAATTGTATAGTGGAGTATATCTAGATATCTCGTATATAAAAGGGTGGGTGTGGGTGTGGGTTAAGAAAGGACATGCACCCACACCCACCCATGCCCACCCCACACCTCACACCCAAAAGTAAAAAAAATCACTTTATCTAAACATATGTTGTCAGTATGGTGCTTAAAAAAAGGTCAGTAGTACTAGGGTTAACGAGATAAAATAAGAATCCAGGCTTTTCATACTAACAGATAGCATCTTTTAATTGATATTTGCATTCAAATTCATCGATTCGAGCTAATTGAACAACATCATTTTGATAGTTAGCTCGACATTCATTTAACATTTGCCTTAAGTGAGTCACGAAATACACTCTTCAATTATTTATAATGAATAACACCTTCGAAGCACTAATCATTAAATACATGAGTCCAAACAAATACTGCCAAATCCTCTTGAACATCTTTCAGAGACTTTGGCGTTCTAAATAAATTATCCCTCAAAGTTTATTTCTCAACTTCTTCAATTCATTTTGCTAAAAGTCCAAAAATTGATTTTTGAGTTCGAACGATATGAAGATTATTTGTCGTTAACGACAGATGTTTATCTGTATCTCTAGCGAAATACATAATGAACATTGTTTGTATTCTCAAACCAAATCAAAGTAATATTAGATTAGCTCATCAATGGCATACTCAATTGTAACTATATAATGCTCCGCTTAGGATAAACTATGAAACGAAAGAGTGTAGAACTATAACCTTGAATTTTTTTAAAATTTTCGTTGCAGTTCTTTATTTCTTCGTGTTACTTTCAATCATGTTTGACATTGCTTATGGAAATCATTTTTATCTGTTATTTATCAATTAATTAGTTACTTTTCTAACCATGTTGCACAAATTGAGTCGAGAGTTACTAACAAAATTTATCTTAATCCGATCAAAAAGAAAAGCAAAAAGCAAATATTAATTATCAATGACAGAATATTTCTTCGTATAATTTCATTTGATTCTTGAGGATCAAACAAAGGCTCTCACTTGTGTTACTCTTCAATCTTTCACTTACCTTTCAGATAAAACAAGAGCAACTTTCGTATCTTTTCGTTCGATGTCAGTGAATATAAATATTAAATATTCGTGTACTATTTGATATACTATCATAGATGAATGTAACCTTAAAACGAAATAAATCATATGAAAATAATTGAACAATGAATGATACTTTCAAAACAAGTTTTTTTCGTTTTTATTGGTGAAAATTTCAATCTAACAATAATTGTAATAAATCGATCAATCATACTTGAATGTGAGAAGATCAACAGAATTTTCTTCACTACAATGATAATTTGATGGCATAGAACTAAGATGACGTTCTGATAGTTATTGCAAATCCATTTTATGATCGAATTCAGACATAGCTTTTTGTTTTTCGATGTTGAGATCATTTTCACGTCATTTGAACGACAAAATTTGCATGAAAACAGAGATATAGCTCGGGTGTTTGATGGATAATTGGAAAATAAACATTGACACAAAAAATTCGATGAATTTCACATTCATTTCAAACGTTGAAAAAAAAAGGATTTGGTCGTCATTAATTGACTTCTTCAACTTGTCTCTTTCTAATTTTGTTGAACTTAACAAATCAGTTATTTATTATAAATCTCTTAACTAATGAGATAAGATGTTTTTATGCAAAATAATTTTCTTTTCTCTTTGAGTCCAATGTGATATGGATGGTTAATATTATAAAAAATGTTTCAAATTGAAACAAAAGCATCAAAATCTCAATTCATATGTCAGTTCCATAATGTTTTCTTGCTGCCAAGCATGATAAATAAATATGGGTTTCAATACGAGAAATAAATGATGTTTCGATTACAAATCAATATTTCACTTATCTTGGACAAGATTGATGCATTCAGATATTTGTTCAAGAAGAAGAAACATCGTCATTAATGATTGGCTGAAGATGAACAGATCAACTTTCAGTTTATTATAAAAAAATAACCATGAGTTTAATATTGCTTGTTGAAGGAGAACATTGTTGTTTCTTTCAAGTTAATAATTTAAAAAAAAACCTAAACACATCGGATCGAAAAATATCTAATTAAGTATCACTCCTGTTCAGATAAATCTTGAATCTGTCTATAATGAAATGTTTGTCAGCAATACATAGTCAAAGAGATGATTAATATTCTAGAATGAAGAGAAAAATTTAGAAAATAACAGCTCTAAGATATTAATTGTTGTTTTGAAATTTAACAAGAACATCGATCAAATTTTGTTCAGTTGTAAATTTAATACATGAGAATATTTATCACAGACAAAAGTCTGAGACACAACACGCATTGCGAATTGAGTCACTGTTCCAAAATAATTGAAATTAACTTTGAGATTAAATAAGCTTTTTAAATAAGAATTATTATTCTTACGCTTAATTGAAGCAACCGAACTGACTAAATCAACAGGGACTTTTCTCCTGTAACTCAAATTTAAACACAACCGCTGATAGTACGAACAAAAGTACGACCTGAGTGGACATCTAGACAAGTTTGTTTCTTTTTGCATTTTATTTTTGACAAAAAGCATCATATCTTTATCAATTGATCGGTTTTATCGAAAAAATCATTTATATCAAAGAAGAATTTTGATAACTACGAAAAAATCAATCATTTTTGAAGCGTTTTTTTTGGGGTACTGCATGAATTAGCATCATTTTCTTCTTTGAAAAAAAAGAAAGCCAGAGAAAACTTTGCAAGATTCGATTAGCTATTATTGATCTTTGTTTGATGCATATCTTCCGAACGCCTCATGTTATAGGGCTCAGAATTTTAGCAAATAAAAGGACATAACCACTTTCTAATAAAACTTGACTAAAATCTTTTGAGGTTGAGGAATCCGAACCTTTACACATTCTCTCAAAATTGAAGCTACGTTTTGTCAGACCTCGCAGCCTCAAAATTTGATGCTGTTAGTCAAATTTGATACTAAAAAAAACCATGCTGTTTTCGCAAATTAAATCTTTCCTAAGCGAAAAAAATTGACTGAATTAGTATTATTCTCACGCACCTCAATTATTCACTTAATGTTTAGTAAATTACAAGTTAACAGGTAAAACTTAAATTTAATCTTAATGATTAGTCCGAAACCAGTCGTCCATCTATAATTATTATTATTATTAATGATCAAGCAACCAGCCAATGCTTATGATAAAATCAATGTAAATCGTCTATCCTTTGCAAAAGTGTTTTTCACTATAGAGATAGTGACGTAGGTGGAGATATAGATGAATAGAAAAATATTTATGACGGATAGGCTGAGAGGATAAAGATTTATTAAGGAGTTAAATGAAGGGATTATATTAAAGAAATGTATTAAGGGATGGATATCGATTAAGTAGTTTGGTGAAGGGATTAGATTAAGGGACTGTATTAAGAGGATAGATATAGATTAAGGGATAAAGATAAGGACCTATATTTGTGGGAGTAGACGTATATAAAAGAAGGCAAGTATAGATGAATGAATTGGTAGAGGTTTAGTGGGATCGTATTGAAATCGGTATGAAGCCTTATTTTTACGAAACTTAAAAAAAGTTTCGATTCTGCTGAGACATTCAGAACTTTTCCTACGTTTCGTATGGTAACTGTGTTTGTGAATGCACCGTTTTTGGAATAACTTTTGATAGGAACACTATATAGACCAGCAGTTTTCATCATTCAAGAAAGTAAACTTGAGCCATCGACCTATTTTTGGAAAACAAATATAGTCCGTCTATATCTCCCACCTCGACACCCTAATAGATCTGATTCGATCGAATAGCTTTCGAACATATTATTGGCAGCAATCCTTTACTCTTGTTGACCAGAAAAGCCAAGAGCTGTTTATTTCACAAAATTGCAGCACATTATTTGTGATATAATCGACATTTTTCTATATTAGATATTTATTGATTTGTCAAACACTAGATTATTTAACTTCCATGGCTAATAGACCAGCTGACCAACTAGTTTCCAAGAGTACGATTATACCAACAGCAAAGCAAAGTTACGAGAAAATTGATGTTGACGGCTCTAGTGGAATCATAGTAAAGAGCGGAAAGTGCGTATAACAAAGCCATCTCAAACTGTTGTCATATATCATTGTTAATATAGAAAACTAGGTCTTCTCCCCAAGATTCTTATTGGTTTACTTGTGGTTGCGGTTGTGGTGATTGCCGTGACTGTTCCAGCCGTTCTCTTAACTCGACCAAGTAAGGAAGCCTCAACTACTTCTGTACCGGCTAGTTCGCCTGGAATACTATCAACAACAAGAGTGTCTTCTACATTAACAAAAACAGCAGGCATCAGTTCAACAGCCACAGAAACCACAGTAGATATTACTTCGACAGGTGCAAAAACAACAATGGGTATCACTTCGACATCCTCAACAACAACAGCAAGCATCGCTTCGACAGTGACAACAGTAATCATCGCTTCGACAGTGACAACAGTAATCATGAGCACCTCTTCATTAGGTATAACAACAACAACAGCTGCAGGCATCGATTCGACATCAACAACAGTAGTGGACATCACTTCAACAGCAACAACAACAGTAGCGGACATCACTTCAACAACAACAACAACAACAGCGAGCCTCGATTCAATAACCACGGAACCAACAACTGAAGTCGCTTCAATAGTCAATGCTACTATGACAGAGACGACAGGTAAGATTCGAGTATAGAAGAATCTGTTTTTCATCCATCTCTTGTTAGCAGCAGTTGCTTACGCATTGGAGGTGTGGATGCAGGTGAACGGAAGACTCTCACCCACACTCATACCCTTCGTCTATTGAGATATAGTTGATTAATAAAGATTTTAAGGCGAAATTTCATTTGTTCATTCTCCGATTCTATAAGTCTTTTATCATTTTTTACTGTGGCTCTTGTTTAAGAATCTTAAATTACTTTTGTATTGAAAGTGATTTAACCAATGATGGCATGACAAGCCATCGATCGCCTCCAAATGGAGAATATTCAAACTTGAGAAGAAAAAAAAATGTTTTTTTTTTCGAATCTGAAATTTGTAATATTTTTAGATCATTAAGCGTTTTCTACTGTTTTGTTCATCATTATGCACATATTTCGATCAATTTGAGATTAGCATTGAATTCTGAACAAAATGGAGTATTTAGTTCACTAAATGTTCAATTTTTGTTTTTCTCGAAAATTGCTCAGGTTCGAAAAGTTGACAAAATTTTCCGTTGGATTCTAGTGAAAAATATCTAATTTGATTCAGAGCCAGATACTGACAATGCATATGTGGATGCTATTTAGTAACTAATACTATGTTTAGTTACTAATTCGATGAATTTATGCTTGTTAGGAAACAATCTGATATTCTGAAAACTTGTTAAAGCCTGGACAACTTTTATCTAGATAGTAGTTTATTTCTATTTCGCTTCGTCTCCTAGTATACTCATAGTCATAGTAGATCTAAATAATCTCTATCTAGAATAAAAGTTTCGAAGAACCTGCTTTTACCATGGATGAGGACTAGATACTCCAACGTAAAAAAAATTAAATTTTGTAATGCTTAGACACGTCATGAGGTCAAATATGGAAGTCCAGTTTTGCAAGGTATGTGAGTCGTTAAAAATGAAACTTGAAAGAAAATATCTGTTGACTTAAGTTACTTTGAGAAATACGCTCACATCAATGCTTTATAGCCAGCAGTTACTTTCTTTGTTTTGGGAAACTTACAGATTTATTAAATTAACTTTTCTATCTAAGAATGACTGATTCAAAGTGAAAGCCTTTATTGACCATCTATGTAAAAAGTGTATTAACGAAAATGGAAAACTCTCACACTTTTTCCTATGACAGAATAAAGAATGTCGTACAACAAAATTGAAACCTCCTTTCATTCTATAGAATATTCACATTTTTTCCACTTAAAATAAGAAAAAAGTTTCGTTTGACAATACTTTAAAACACTTCACTTCGACATAGAAAATCTTGTCTTCCATAATACTACACTTATCAGTCTCCATGTATTCAAATGGTTCTTTTAGACTGGCTTAATACTGGCAGTATGAATACTGCACGATATGAACACACAGCATCTCTATTAGCTGATGGACAAGTATTAGTTACTGGTGGAAGATATAATTCAAGTTCGTATCTGGATGATTCTGAATTGTATGATCCAACAACAAGAACTTGGACAACAACTGGTAGTATGAATTATGTACGACGAAGTCACACAGCATCCGTTTTAACAAGTGGAAAAGTGTTAGTTACAGGTGGATTTAATGGTCTTCAACGTTTAACTAGTGCTGAATTGTATGATCCATCAACAGGAAATTGGACATTTACTGGTAACATGAGTTATTCACGAGCTGGACATACAGCATCCATATTAGCAAATGGAAGCGTGTTAGTTACTGGTGGGCGTAGTGGTAGCTTTGCAAATACTACTGAATTATATGATCCATCAACAGAAATTTGGACAACAACTGGTAGTATGAATGATGCTCGACGAGATCACACAGCATCCGTGTTAAGTAATGGGCAAGTGCTAGTTACTGGTGGGTCGGGTAATAGTGGTTTTCTCAATAGTGCTGAGTTATATGATCCATCAACAGGAAATTGGACGATAACAGATAATATGACTGATACACGGTATTATCATACAGCAACCGTACTAGCAGATGGAAAAGTGTTAGTTACTGGTGGACTGATTAATGCTGCTCCTATAAATCGTGCTGAGTTGTATGATCCATCGGCCGGAACTTGGACACCGACTAGTGACATGAACAGTGGACGGCAATTGCACACAGCATCAATATTAACAAATGGAAAAGTGTTAGTTATTGGTGATTCAAATAGGGCTGATTTGTATGATCCATTAACAGGAAATTGGACGATGACTGATAATATGAATCATGTACGATCTGGTCATACAGCATCTGTTTTAACAAATGGAATAGTATTAGTTACTGGTGGGTTGGAGCTTGATATTGCTCTAAATACTTCAGAATTATATCAACTATCTGAAAAAAATGAATAATTTTACATTTATACGTGCAGTCAAAAACTAATTTGATAAAGAGAACTATGGGATTTAAATCATAGTGAATGTGTTCCTTCGGTGTTTTTGTCAATTTGTCATAAACTTGAGATCGTTTGTTAAGCTTATTGTGATGAAAAAGTCTCGGTTCATATGATGCTTTTGCTCTTTTTGCAAATGTTTCATTAAATTTCCAATTCACCTTCAGTATGAAAATTTGGTTTCCTTTTTATCATTAATTAATGTCCTATCGATACTTCGAACTATAATGGTGAATTGAACGTCGGTTTTGTTCACATAAGTTTTCAAAGGTTTGCTTTTCCTAGTGAAGAAAGAAGGCTGTGTCTTGTATCTAATGTGTCGAATAACAAGTTATGTTTTTATATTCGAATAGAAATAACATTTTCTCAGTTATCTATTTTATCTTACTTGAGTTTTTGATCAGCCTATTTCATTTATATTTTACACATAAAACACTTTAATGGAATAAAATATATAATATCTCTATCTAATCCATTACAACAATTTCTTGTACCAGGGTGTAGGTGTGTAGACTTCCATTAAGAGATAACTTGCACCCTCAACCTTCCAAATTTTTTTTTATTAATCTATTTAAACGTTATATCATTTTGAAAAATAAATAAAAAAAAGTTAAAAGAAATATAATCAAACCAAAAACACACTGAATCTTTGTAATTGGATATAATTCTTTCTATTTTATTATTATTATTATTAAACATTGTTCGAATATTCACAAATAGTATAAAACAGTTAAAAAGCTGAAAACTTATATTCAAAAACCATTCCAAAAAATATTAAATTTTATTTAGAAAATAATATTTATTGAAAGAAAAGTAAATGCGTAAAATTTTTATATCAAATAAGCATCTAATAAATCTAGGCGAAAATACTTCTAATGAAAAGTGAATCAGTCAATGGTAGAAATATTTTGATTTCTTTTAAAAATGCTTGTAGAAACTTTCTCTCCTTATAATGTCCTAGCGAAATGACGATAATATTAGATGATATATTTTCTCGTCTGCTCCAATGCCTCATCATCTATACCTTTTATGGTATACAAAATTTGATTTCAATAGAACAAAAAAAAAGGAAATAGAGAAATAAGGGTATGAGTGGATATATGATGTGGGTGTATGAAGTGTGGATATACCATCAAAGAAAATAAACATCCACACCCTCATTTTGATGTACTAATATCATTAAACTAGATATTTTTCAAGAACAAAAAGTTCGAAGTAACATATAAAAATGAATATATACGATTGTAATAGCTCGATATCAACTGCATATGAGAATAAACAGCAACATTTTTTTGTTTCGAGGCTTTTTGTTTATACATAGGAATATGACATATTATGATTTTTCAAAGTAAAACACAAGTTTAAATTTCTTCTGCTTTCTATTGCTTTTCGCTATCTTATAAGGTAGAAACATGTTTTGCTTTGATTGCATATGCAAAAGCCACTATGCGTAAATCACTCAACCATATTGTTTCATGCACATGTTTCGTTGTGTGCAACTTTGTGTGTGCATGTTGTCTAAACCCGTTCGCAATAGAGTATATTGTAGTAAGAAAAAAAGAAAAACAACTATGCAAAATAACGAACGGTAAGAAACGAATAAAATTATCTTATTGCAAGGGTAAAAAATAAAATCATTCAACAAACTAAGCCAATACATGTAGTGTCATACACAATACCAAGTCTCATCACTTGATCCGCAACACACAAATTTCCTCATATATTAGATCTTCTTTTATTTCGTTATGGTGAGTAATTTATTAGCATAGTCCAAAACCAGAAAAAAAGTTTTTTTTTAAATAATATACAAATAGTTTCAATATGATGTGCGTATAGATACGACTAAGATAACCATGATATTAATTCGAATGATCGACGTTTCTTTTGGACGGTCGATTGGTACATGCTAGTTAGTTAGCAGATTCCTAGACTCACTTTTCTGTCTTTTTCTCACACTTATTTTTTATTTTGATTAATATGAATGTTTTTGATGATATCTATATATGATATAATTAGTTTGCTTGCTTTTTTACCAATGCTATAAATCATGTTTTGCTTATCAATAGACAAGAGTTTAACTCTCAGCATAATATAATTAAGTGTTGATAAAAAAAAGCATAAAGTACTTGCTATTGACACAGCAATAAAATCGTCATGTAGATAAAAAAGAAGATGAGAAACTTCGAGTCTTGCAGTACTCTATCTCAGAATTAGTCTGATATGCTCTGCATCAAACAGTGCTAATAAAAAAAGAGATTAAAAACCTTTGGGCAACGTCACAAGGTACCAATATGAAGGGTATGAATAGTGGTGGGGATAAGAGTTGATCTTCTCTTAAGCTATGGCGACAGCTGCATCCAATTTTCTTGAGAAAAGCTTGTGTCGATAATGGGAAATAAAAGAAAAAAGTGGAAATAGCCATGTCGTCAGAAATGTTGAGCGAGCTCATCGTGGAGTATACAAGCATTTTTTGCTTGCATGAATTTATTTTATTCATGCCCTCTTTAAAAGGAACATCTTCCCGAAGAAATGATCCGTGTTCCCTGAGTTCGTTTCTAACTGTGAGACACATTTTCTTTTATGAATGTCTAAAACAAAGTGAATTCGATTCTCATATCAATGATAGAAGTTT